AGAGGCTCTTGGGTGCAGAGCCAGTAGATGCCGAGGCAGAGCTTTCTCACTGGCACTGTACCCGTGGGAACGATATTTTTGGGATTAATAAGGTCCTCCCAGACTGGAAACAGGCCGACCTGGCTGCCCAGAAACCAAGATGCACTTTTCTGCTGCACCGCAAATCTGCTCAGGGTTTAGACATCCTTCCCCAAAGGAATGAATCTGATCCCGGAATTCTCACACCTGCCAGGATCGGACAGCTGGAACTCCACAGAGCTGTGGCCGGCTGGAACTGGGACGCTGTGGTTCTGATGGCGGAGGTCCTTTCTCAGGCACCGCGACTGCAGAGGCGTTCCTGCGTCCCGGGGTTGGGGAGAGGGGGAAGCTTGTGCTCCTCTCCCGGGATTCTCTGGAGACCGGCTCGGGCTGGGCGGTCCCGGTGACGCGGCGATCTGGATCCTCTCCGCCCGGATGTAATCCGTGTGCTTGCTGGGCCTGGTCTGTGAAACGGACAGTGCCGTTCCGCCAGTCTCTCGCTCCGGGGCGGGGGCTGTGAACCATCTGTACCCTGCTCTGGACCGGGTCAGGAGCCAGAAACCACTCGCCAGTCGGATTAAGAGGCCAGACAATTCGGGTCCAGAATGGAAATAAGTCAGGACACTGGTCTGGACACACCTGCTAATACGATCGGTGCCAGGAGACCTCTAACGACCAAATAGAGTCAGGATCTTGGTTTAATGTCTCCTTTTAAAATTTCAAAGGCGGTGGCTCTCCTACAGCATATTGTCCCAAGGTTTGAAAAACCAGGTCTAGAGGACAGATCGCCACCTGCTGGTCTGACAACACCAGCGGTGTCCCTCAGGGGTCTCCCCGCCCTGTACTGACCAGGCCCAGGCTGGCAGCCTTCTCCTGATGTTTCCCAGTTTTGGCCGCCCCTTTGCAATGAAGGAATCGTTCTGCCCTGAAAGGAGCCCGTGGCACACTGACCAGAGTCGTCGCGGCTCGTGACGGTGACTAAATCTCTTCGGTCCTGGAAAGGGAGCGCTGGAACAAGCTGGCCGTCGTTGTCGTTGCTGAAGCAGGTGCCCCAAGATCCTTTAAAATCGTGGAGTTGCCTGGAGGAGCTGAGTGGAGCAGGTTTGATTGCTTCTGATAATCCTTCCTCGGCCATGTTCGAGCAGACACATGCAGGTACACGCAGTGTGGGCGTTCCAGAGTGGCCCAGTCTGTCCTGGTTCGAAGTAGATTTCCTCCTGTTGTTGAAGACGAGCTACAAGCCGGGGTATACTAGAGTCGGGGGGCGTGGCGGTGATCTGCCGGTGTGTCTCGGAGGGAAAGGCTGTGTGAATTCTTCAGACCTGCGCGGACACGCTCAAAGCAATAGCCCGAGGGCTTGCCACAGTCTGCAACACAAGAGTGTCGCTTCCCACTGGCATAGCGGCCGATAGACATGCGGATGTTGTGTTGCGCACGCGTTGCATTGTGGGAGATGAAGTTTCTTTACTATTCTTCAAGGTGGCGGCTTATTTTCCTCAAATGGGTAAATATCCTCCACTCCCTGACAGACCTTGATAAAGGTCTTTTCTAGACACAGAATAAAAACAAGCTTCACAATCAAAACACCCATCATATGCAGCTGGAAGCTCTCGGTGCCCTCACAATGCTACTCTGGTAAGCAGAAAGCTCTGCTTTTGCTGTAGTACAGATTGACCAAATATGTGTGGTACTGTGGAAGGCCTTGAGTATTACTGAAGGCTTAATGGAAATGCTCATGCTCAGGGCTCATAGTCACCCCAGGTAATTCCTCTTCCTTGGTGTGTTTCTCATTAATACAACAGTGCTCAGCATTGTCAGTGGGAACAGTAGTTGTAGCCCTGTTCATATTGCTTCCTCTGAGCTTTAATGTGGCTGTATCTGTCCTGGCTTGTGGATGGGCCCGGCCTGCTCTTGCTCTGGAGTTGTCTTCTGGAACTTGAAGTGGTGTTGGTGAAGCAATAGTTCACTTTGTCATCTGCACAAGTGCAATGAAATGCTTATTTGCATGTATGCTCCAATTCAAAGACAGAGGGAAGTGAGAAACCAGGATGATGGGTATCCTTCGCAATACTTCCAGCCTTCCTGAGGCTGCGAGTTGTAAAAATGTCTGAAATAGAGGGGAGCTGTACCCCAATGATGGGCTGGGCTGGCCTGATCACCCCCTGTAACACCTTCCGGTCAGACAGCGAGCCGCTGCCGAACCCCACTGTCCTCCCACACCTGAGCCACTCTCCACAGCGCACCTGTCGCATGTGGTGAGGACCGCTGAAGACAGACCAAATGTGTTCAGCTGTCTGAGGAAGTAAAGGCGCTGTTGTGCTTTCTGTGTAGCTCCAGTTACATGCTGGGACCACGTTCAATCACTAGTAGTGAGGGTACCCAGGCACCCGAAGCTGCTAACTGTCTCTACAGCCACCCCATTGATGTGAAGAGGGGTGTGGTGCTCACCTTGCTCTCTAAAATCAATTCTAAAATCAATGACCAGCTGTTTGGTCTTGCGGACATTGAGGGAGAGGTTATTGTCACCACTCCACCAGGTTCCTGCCCTCAGCCCTGCAGGCTGTCTCATCATTAGCAGTGGTTCCGCCAATGATGGTAGTGTCATCGGCATATTTGTAGATGGAGTTGGAGCTGTGTGTGGCCACACAATCGTGGGTAAACAAGGAGAACAGCTGGGGGCCAAGCGCACAGCCCTGGGGGGCAGCTGTGCTGATGGTCAGCGTGGAAGAAAGTTTGCCGTCTGCCAGTCAGGAAATCCACAATCCACCTGCACAGAGAGGTGCTGAAGCCCAGGTCATTCATCTTCCTGACCGGTCTGAAAGGAACTCTTGTGTTAAATGCGCAGCTGTAATGAATGAATAGCATTCTGATGTGTGTGTCTTTACCATCCCAATGAGCCAGGGCAGTGTGAAGAGGCTGGGAAGTAGCGTCGTCAGTGGACCTGTTACGCCGGTATGCAAACTGCAGGGGGTCTAAGCACTCAGGCACCATTGTGTTAATGAGCCCCAACACCAGTCTTTCAAAGCATTTCGTTATGGTGGATGTAACGAAATCAGTCTGTAATCAGGTCGCAGTATTTTTCTTTGGCGCTAGAATAATGGTAGTTTTCTTAAAACACACGGGATCGGAAGATTGTAAAAGCGAAAGATTAAAAATATCCGTAAAAACCGTGGCCAACCATATACTGTATATCCAGTTGTATAGATTTGGTATTTATTGTGTGTTGTTATGTATTCTGTAGATTATTAGGTTACACTGGCGTCCCCCTCAATCACGCAGCACAGGCGTCTGTGTTCGAGCCCCTGGGAGAGAAGACCAGGCCGTGTCGACAGCGCTGCTGCAGGCCGCGGAGCCCAGGTGCTCCTCTGTGTGCAGGGAGGCAGTGTCGAACAGGGCGGAGGGCGTGCCGGTGTGTTAACACACGAGCCCAGCCGGCTGCCTGCTGTTTGTACTTTCGTTTGGGAAACTGGTCGGGCTGCATGCTTGCGCGTCTGTCTCTCTCTCGTCACGTCGGCCCTCCAGCTCCCTCCCTGATCTCTGCTCTTGAGCAACAAAGGGTTTCGAGCAGGAGGGGGGGCGTTCCAGCCCGCTGGGGTAGTGAGCAGGTAACTGATTCCAGGATCTTACTCTCTATGATCTTGTCACCCTCCCTAATTTCTTTCTTTTTCCTTAACACCCCTTCTTTTGTCTCAGTCTTCTGTTTTCCCAGAGCTGACGCAGACCCAAATTAGCTCAACTTTAAATGAACGTATTTAAATGTAAATATGTCATGGTTAAGTGTGTGTACCCTGAAGAGGTAGTGTTAACGTCTTTACAATAACTTCCTACAGATTCAGTGAAACATGCAATTTGACCAGGGGGGCCCCGACGTTTGCATACAACTGGAGCTGGTAGTTAATTGATCCTGGGATCTCATCCAGCTGTTTCTGAACAATAAGCACATGGCTGGGTCCCACACCCCTGCAAATAGACACGTACTTCCTTTTACAGTGCTTGCTAATCCTCCTACTTCTACACTAAAATGTGGAAATTCCTGAAACACTGTACCGATTGAGACAATGAAGCTCTCATGTGGTATGTTAGATTTTCTTTGCTTTATAGAGGAGAAATTATGCTACAGTAAGGAAAACACACAGCTAAATATCTCTTAGTCTAGCCAATAAAAAGGTAGCCCTACAGCTTGTTATAATGAGCATCAAGGACAAAAGCATCAACTCCAGAACAAGCATGGAGTTTCACACGTGAAGAAATGTAAATGTAATGCTGCCCTTATTGGATTGCCAACAATCCATCCTTTTAAGTGCACCAGTGACCACAGGAGAATCACTCTTGACTTGCAGTGTCGCAAAGTTCAGCCGCTTAATGTGTCTGAAAGATAATGAATTGTGTTCGAGGGTTTGGTGTTTGTATTAAATGCACATAAAAAGTTGTTTTGTGCGTTCTTGGCCTTCTTATCACCACCTTTGTCTGTCTTTGAATATATATGTGATCTGTCACCCTCTCTGCCTCCTTATCAGTCACAGGGTTTCCTCTAGTTAAGGGTCTGGTCTCTGTTCTCACCTGGGCAGCGGCCCGCAGGCTGCAGGTGTGTGTCAGGGTTCAGCTGGAGTGTCAGGCTGCTCCAGGGGTGAGCTGCTGGCGAACACTGCGCTGGGCTCTGGGGAAGGGCTCCACTGGTCCGCTCGGAGGCAGGTGAAAGGAGCTGAGTCTCTTCAGTCCTTACCTTCAGGGTCTCAGGCGAGCAATGACGCAGCTGCAGTTCATGTGATTGAGGGCTCCTGGGGTCACACGAGGAGGAGGGGTACCCCAGCTGTGAGATGGCCGCTGTTCTGCAGACCTGGCCGGTAGTTCTGAACGAGCTACCTGCCCGTCCTGTCTGTCCGTTCGCACCCGTTCCTCAGTAGCCCCTGCCAGCCAGGGGGAATCTGTAGCGGAATAACCTCATTTAAATCCCAGGGAGCCCGTTCCTGTGTTTGGAACTATAAACGCGGAAATGTTTTTTCGGCGGGACCGCGGCGGGCCTGGAGAAGCCCTCTGGGGGGACAGGCGCTGATTCTCTCCCTCCGTCCCCCGCAGGACCGCGACTGGGACACCTCGCTGCAGTTCCTCCCGGCCGCGGACGCCAAGAAGGTGGAGAAGAGGAGGGGGCCGGGGAGGAAGATGGCGATGGCAGCCATCGTCGTCTTTGCAGCTGTTGTCGCGCTCATGACTGGCCTGCTGGTCTGGCACTTCCACTGTGAGTCTTCATCTGTGTGCTTCCTCTTCATCCGTTCTCCCTGATCCTCCTCTTCATCTCTCCTCCTGTCTGCCTGATTTTCTCCTGCTCTTCATCCATCTCTCCTCCCTACTCTCACCCAAAGAGTAGTTAAAACGTACAGTAGCTGGCCACGATATTAGAAACCCTCTCCAAATGAAGGAGCTGGCTTTTGGTTTAGGTGCTGAAGAGGGTGATGGTATGTGGGTCCTAATATTTTGGCCAGTGGATGTAATACATGCATATAAAATCCTTGACTCTCTCCAATTGTCCAGTTCGGAAGGAAGTGATTGTCTGGAAGATGTACAGCGGGTCACTGCGCATCACGAATCAGGTTTTTATCGACGCCTACGAGAACCCGAACAGCACGGAGTTCATGGAGCTGGCGGACAAGGTTGTGGAGGAGGTGAGTGAGCTCCACCCCTGCAGCAGCAGGCCGGTCCCTGGCGAGAGGGCGATTCGGCCTGTCCAGCCTGCTCCGTAGGTACTAGCTGACTGATCCAGGGGTCTCATCCATCCTGTCAGGGCATCAGCTTCTTCCAGACCCCCGAACCCCTTCCAGACCCCCACCACAGGTGGGATTTCTGGTTGCCCAGTGGCTTCCACAGTTTTGGGAATATCGGATGCTGTTGTTGGGCAAAGGGCAGTTCTCCGATTTGCACTGTCTTCAAGGCAGCCATCTTGCCTCCGACTGTGCTGATCTCGCGCCCCAAGTGCTTTGCCAGCTGGGGACCTGCTCTCCCTCCCAAGGAAGGTTTTGGGGCCCCACCCCAGCGGGACGACCACCTCTTTCCGGGGATCCCCCAGTTCCAGCAGGTTTTGTGGGTCTCAGTAAATAAGCCAGTGCCTCCAGATTCTGTCAGACAAGATGACACCGGCCCTCTACATCCGGGCTGTTCGGATTAATCTTTAATCTTTCATTAATGAATCTTTCCTTTCCCTGCAGCTGAGGCTCATCTACTCCAAAACCCCCGAGCTGTCGAAGCACCACGTGGCATCCACAGTCGAAGCCTTCAGGTGTGTGCGTGTGCGTGTGCGTGATTGTGACTGTATCTGCGCGGGAGTGTTTCTTATGCGCTGCGAGGCAGGAGCAGTGAGGCGTTCATTCGTGCAGCTCACACTGACAGCATTGCTCTGTCGGGACGGACCTGTCTTCTGCAGGTTCTAAGCATGCTGAAAACAGACGTATTTATATTCCTGTTTCTAAACAGATACATTGGCCTGCTTGCTCTTCAAGAAGTGTGCAGACTCTTGCACAGCTTTGAAGTGAGCAGTCAAGACATTTTGAAGCAGAAGTCAGTATCTGTTGTCTGCATAACCTACACCACACGTGCAAAGTAAAAAAACAAAACGGAAGAAAGAGAGAGGTGTTGGACTTCGATATCCAGGCACTGGCCGAGCAATCTCGGACAGGGAGAGGCGCTCGGCTCCTGTCTCGGATTGCCGGAGGGCGGACGGAGAGAGAGAGAGCAGTTGTAGGTTTTCTCTTTCGGAATGAAAGGCTCTGTGAACACAGCCCTGTCTCCCGGTCTCCAGCGAGGGCAGCGTCATTGCCTACTACCTGTCGGAGTTCAGCGTGCCCGCCGAGCAGGTGGAAGCAGTGGACAGGGCCGTGGGCAGCATGGAGACGGTGGTGGCAAAACTGCAGCGCGGCTCGGGTGCCCGCCGACGGGTCAGCTCCCTGACGGTGGACAGCGTGACTTCTGGAGGTGTGTGGGGACCGCTTCTGGCACAGAGCTGTTAACCGCTAACGCATCGAATAAGTGTTCCAGAATGGAGTCGAACATCCTGAGTACTGTGCTCATAGGAATGAGAGGAATTCTGTATTATTCTGTATCCGATAACCTTCAGATTCAGTCATGTTTCTCATGCGAGCTGGTTGTTATTGTGAAGTATTTGACCATATTTGCATGATGATTGCTAGTGAACAGCCGCCACGATGAGCCGTGGTGATTATGATTAGGCTCCTCAGCTCATTTAGCCCATTAAACAGTAGCTGATTACCCAAGGATCTCATCCTCCCATTTTTGAAAGACAGGATGTCAGCCTCAACCACATGGGTCTGTAGCCTCTTCCACACCCCTGCAAGCCTTTGTGTAAAGACGTGCGCGCTGTTCTCGGGTAGACGTGAGATTTCCGTGAGCTTCGTCTCGCACGGGCGCCACCCCTGTGAAGCTCAGCCCCCGGCCCGAGCGGGAGTTTCGGCCATCGCTCACGCTGCTCTTGTGTTCTGTGTTTCAGCCGTGGACCCTCGAATGGCGCGGGACGCGACCAGAAGTAAGACCACCAGCTTTTCTCTCTTTCGAGGCTCCTTCGATTTCCCTGCCCCCGCCCTGACGGGCTCTCTCTCCGCCTCCCCCAGCACTCTGCCGGTACAGCCTGCACTCCCGGCCTGGCCAGACGTACACCCTGCAGTCCCCCGGCTTCCCGGACTCCCCCTACCCCCCCAACACCCACTGCGAGTGGCAGCTGCGTGCCGACCCGGGCAACGTCATCACGCTGGAATTCCTCACCTTCAACCTGGAGAGCGACTGCGGCAACGACTTCGTCAAGCTGTACGACTCGCTGGTGCCCCTGGAGAGCCGCGCCATGTCCGAGTGAGT